AAACCATAAAGACACAAGAGAGGAAAATTGCATTACAGATTGGTTTCTGAAATAATCATGCTTTCCAACATCAATGTTAGTGTTTCAGACAGACCAAATGCATGTTTATTGTCTTTAGCCAAAGCACCTGCTGAAATTCTTGGATTCTGACACTCCAGGACAGATTTGGACCCATTCAAACAATAATCCACAAATTAAAGCAAAATGTTCTCATTTTTATGACTCTTTGACCTTGAGAAAACTAGTAAGACTCATCCTGTTTCAGCTGGGATTTTTTTAATCAAAATACCATCCAGCTGTAAACTTAGAAGCATAGCATCACAGAATTGTTTGAATTGGCAGGGACCTTTAAAGGTCATCTATTCCAATGACCATACAGTGAACGAGTAATGAACTCTAGTCTGGTTACATTTGCCACAGATACAGCATTTCAGAAAGTCTCCATTTTCTCTATCACGTAAAAATAGTAACAGAAGGACTATATAACAAGTAGTAACACATTATACTTACTTCATGTTTTCTACTTCTGTCAAGCCTCATGCTAAAATAGTCTGGTTTATATCTTTGTAATAGTCACTTTGCTGATACACCTCATAGTATGTATTTTTTACAAGCTTTTCAGTAGGGAAAACTAGAGTTGCTATTAGTTCTAATGAACCAAATGAGGAAAAACTTATTTCAAGAAGAATATAGAAATATATTATTTTTAGCAACATTACGGTATTGTGAAATGTAGCCCTTCACCAAGGTCTCAGTCAGCAGCTCATCCCACCTCCTTGATACACAACAAACAGAACAAGTGCTGATACTTATTTTAGAAAAAAAGATTGTGAAATGTGCTTTTGAAATACATTTCTCAGAAGACTTTCAGGCCCATAGAAAGCTGTTTACATTCTATTACTCGCAGACACAATTGCAAAAAATGTGAGGAAGAACAATAATCTGAGCTGCAAGCAGCCAACAATTCTTGCTGAATTCCTGGGAGCCAGAACTTCATCGCTCTTTAAATATGTAATCTCTGGTCATGATAAAAGAACTGGAGGTTTAAATAATGGAATTTTTAAAATTATTGCCATAGAAATAGAGCCTGGATATTTATCATGGTAATCAGCTATCTTTCAGAAAATTTATGTAGAAAGATTGATGCTAAGTACCAGCTGATGCCCTAATTTGGTAGTAGTACAAGAACTTCAGCATTCAAACATCCTTCAGTGTTCACTTAGAAAAAACAAATGTCCTTTCACCAAAGGGCCTAATACCATCATAGTGTAGAGGGGAACTTACTTTTAAACTCAGAAGTGCAAACCCTTCAAACTTTGTGAAAAGACAAAATATTTTAAATTGCCGAAAGAGAATGAATGAAAATGACTTTCCATCTGACGGTGATCTTTATCTACTGATACAGACTTACTACCAAGTCCAGTAAAAAAAGAGAAATTTATAGCATTTTGTTGATAATTTTATTTCTGGATATGTTTATTAATAAACTTCTACTTTTTTTTTCCTTTTTACTAGTTTTTGCTGTCAAACTGTTAAAAAATACCATTAGAAAAACAGTAGAAGTTTTTATTCAATAGCACCTTCTTTGTCTATCATATTACTCATGCTGGACAAATGGAAAGCATCAGAAAAATGCCTAGTTTAAACTCTGAAATGCAAGCAATTGAAGACGATATAAACAACTTTGAATCTCTGACGCATATTTAAACAGTTACAATTACACAGTATGAAAGATATTCTGATCACACTCATCACAGGAGATGACTGTTCAGAAAGATGATAGAAAAAATGTAAATTATATACGGCACAATAAATGACTTCAAAATAAAAAAGATCAATCTTTTTTTGGTGTTGCTAAATACTTACTTTCACCAGCACCTACAGATGATTTTCATCTTTCACAACATTACAATATATCTTTATAATGAAATGCTATAATGAAGTGTTTCTCACAGATATGTAATAATCATAATCTACAAATCTGCTTCAGATAGTATAAAACAAGTAGTATACATATAGTATACATAGTATAAAAATTTTGCTCTGCATGCAACAGAGCTTGCTGAGGATATTTTTAGCTACTGCATCACTGTGACAAGTGAACTGCTTAGGTAATGTCTGCAATGAGAAGTCTACACATCTCTGTCCTTTCCTTTAACTAACAAACCAAACACAAACTCTGACGAACTCCACAAGTTCCTTGGATTCCCCATAATGTTCAACTGTCCAAATATGACCCTGATTCATCAGCATCACTGTTAGTTTTATGGACGCTCTAACAAGAAATACTAGAAAATAGACAATTGATTCTTGAAGCTTTATGACAATATTTTTGGACACATCACAGAAAAAGATTTGTTTGGCCTGTTCCTGAAGGTCCAAATTATACCCATGAATAAAGTGTTTTCCACACCAAGCTTTCTTTGGCATATGTAAAATCCATTGATGAAACAGGAATGACACAGAAGTTAAGAAGCCTTTCCAGACAATATTCAGAATGGCCATGTAAAAATTTTCAGGACAATCTTGTCAACAAGTTAGTCACTCCTGCATCAGCATTTTACGATACCTAAACTAGTTGAAGTAAATGATGGGAAACAGAAAAAAGTCCATTTGATACTGCATCAATACTGTCCATTATCTGAAAGTAAGCATAAATTATATGTGTTAACTTGAGTAATTTTAAATCAGTGGCTGTTACCTGTTAGGAAACAAGATGAAATCTCTGCATCCAAGGGGAAGGAAAAATTCTGCAAGCTCAAGTATGTGAACATCAGTGCACAGTGGAAGAGGAGGCTCCACCATGCTCTACAGGAGCTTCAGTATTGAATAGGAAATAGGCCCTTTAAGGTCATGCCTACACCACTAGTTTCAGACAGTCAGGAATTAACATTGCCATTTACTGAGATGGCAGGAGATGAGGCAACTTTTGACCAGAAGCCAGTGTAATGATGCACAAAAAATCTTAAAACGCTAATGCAAACTCAGCCTTCAAAATGATTACTGCTTTTTCTTTGTTCAGCTGTGCTGTGATACTATGAAGGAAACAAATGCTTTGTAAAAATGACTTTTATTTAACAAAGTTATTCCTAGAGCAAGGTAAATGTTAAAATATTCCTTCATTTACCTCAGCTATAGACACTGTTCAAAAAAAAGCGTGGAAAATGACTTCTTCTTTGTTAATAACTTATATATACATAATCTCAGAGCTAAACTATAATTCTGTAAAGGAAGCAGATTGAAAGCCAAAAGGAATGTGCAGAAATACAACACACAGGTCTGTATGGTATCAAAATAATTGTTAGCAACATTAAATTATTGGCTAGAAATCTCACTTTTCTGATTTTCTCTGGTCTAGATCATCAAGTGAAAATTATCAAATAGGATGAACCTGACTGATGCTAATAAAGCCACCATTAGATACACTAGATCTATTATTACTGTTTTACCTAGCTTTTAGACACATTCTAATACAATCAGATTTATAGCTAATTTCTAATATAAAGTCAACAATCATATACATGCATATAGTATGCATATTATACGACTGCAGACTGAAGAGCTTGAATATTTTCTATTTTGCATTTGTTGAGCCTAAGCACGAGTTCTAGGGCTTCTTGCTTCTCCCACTGCACATAACTCTTGTCAAAATAATTTATGTTATCTTGGATACAAAGAATATGGATTATTTATTATAGAAACTTAAAAATTGCACTAGCAGTCATGCCTTGGAGGCAGATAAAGTTCGAACCTTTAGGCTTTCAACTTATCTAAAATGTTATTTTTTAGGATATTATAAATAATATAATGTAATTAAAAAAAAAAATCCTGTGATGTCACCTGCCATGAACTAGAATGGTTTTGCGAACTTTTCCTTGACATTCCTCTAGCAAAATTTCCACAAATTATTTTCCTATGATGTCATGGTTTTATGATTTTTGTTATTGGTATTCCACATCATAACATCATGTAAAGCACTGGGAATTAAAGAGTTAATGCCCCACTTCCATGGACTGACAATTTTCTGAATACCTGGCTCTCAGAAAAGAAGAACTACATACTACAGAGGACTTTGCGTTCAGAGAGGAAGACAAAGCTGGCAAGTCACAGGACTCTCTCTCTTGCTCCTGGCAGTGTGTGGGTATGCTCCCCAGCCATCGGTTTCGTACACTCGCTCTCACTCTCATTTTATTTGATATATTAGCCTCAATTCCAATTATATATTGTATTATGGTGTGTTATCTTGCATTCCGATTTAATATTTAGTAAATTAACTTTCCTCCTCAGATCGTTGCCACTGTTCTGTTTTTAGGCCCATCTCCCTACCCTTCCCCCTTTCCTTTTCCCTTTCCCAGGGCATGGATCCGTATGTGCCCTGCCCCATTAATCACAGTACTGGACCAAACTGGCCTGTAAATCATCAGCACTCTCCCTTTTTCTGGGCCTGTGGGCCTGTCATGGACACAGACACATCTAGAGATAACTCAGTGACATTATGATTAGGCAGAAATAATGAAAACTAAAAATAATCTCTTGGGCATGATGAGGAGGAGATGGAGTTTAACACATAATGAAAAGTTTGTATACTACATTACTCTTTTTTTTTTTTTTTTTTCTTTCCTGCTGGATATCTTCTCTTTTTCTGCTGAATTTCTTCTCTGAGACTTGCAGTTTTGAAAGCAGTCAGTGCTCCCAGTCTGATTTTGTATGTCTGTCATCTAATTCTGCAGTTTTGCTCACAGGATAGAGAGAACACCTAAATAACTAACACTGTCTGAGGTAAGGAAAAAAAAATCCCTGCTGTTCTATGTGATAATCACAGTATTCAAAAGCGGAGACCAACACATGATGTTCCACTGGGGAAGATATACCATACTTATCAGTAACATCTTATAATAAGCATAAGCTTCTCCCACTTCTCCATGACCACATCTTGCTGAAACACAACAAAACTCTTTCATAGCAAACCTGATGAGGACAAATGGTAAGAACAAAGTGCAAACAAATTCTACCATATTTTTTCTTTATTCCATCTAGGTAAACAAGATTGTTTAGACTCATCAACACTCAAATATCTTTTGGCTTATCAGATGAAAAGGAAACTGGTCAGTCAATCAAAAAGATCTGGATTTTCATACATTTGGAGGGAGAGATCATTATCTAATAAAATCTGCATCATTTACTTATTCAGTGAAACTCTGCAGCCATACAGAAGGCAAAAACTTTCATTCTGATTACAAAAAGTAAGCACAGAAAAAGATTTAAATAAAAACAAACCTTCTGCAATACACATTTCATATTAACAAACACATAGGAAACTATTTGGAGTTTACGGCTATAAGGAAGCAATTTATGGAAAGTGTCTGCCAGTGGAAAAACAAAAAAAAAGTGAAATAAAAAATCACAATCACCAGAAAATAACAAGAATTGCCCATGGGTCCCCACTGGATGACAAGCTCACCATCAGAGGTATCATTCTCAGTTTATTTATATTCCTAGGCATTATTTCATTCAGAACTTTAAAACTAAGGTTCCAGGTCTACAATCAAGAGTGTAGGCACTGAGTTTCTCATTCACAGACTTGATCCAAAGCCCATTGTCAGTTGGCAGTATTACTACTTCCTTGAATGGGTTTAAAAATGACATCTGAGGTCAGCATGATGCTCTCCTTATTCTGTCAGAAATTCCACTGAAGCAGTGCAGTATGCATATTCACATAATTACGTGTATCTTATTCCTGAAACTGAGGTCCCTGACCTTTGTAAAACAAAAATAGAATACATACCAGACAATGGTTACAATAATGTTTGAAACTATTCTGACATGATGCACTGCTTGGTTTTTAAATTTTTTTCTGTCACTACTGCTGGAGTTGTTTACAAATGTTTGAAGAAATGACTGTCAAAGCTCTTATCTTTCAGCACGGATTCTTCCATTATGCATCTAAAGTAATAACAGCTAATAAGCTTCTCACACTCATTTCAGGCAATGCACTTGGGCATATACTTGAGAAATAAAGATAGACTTGTATATTTAATTTTTTTCAATTTCTTTTAAAATTAAAAAAACTAAAAAAATTACATCAAGACATGAAAACAACCTTTAAACCAGAAATGGAAGGGAATTTTTTCATCATTGCTGTAGTTGCCTAGAGCTCCAATCGTAGGTTACTAGAGAAGACAATAATATTAAATCATAAATAAAAACTATTTTTCCTGTTAAAAGAAAAAACTGAATACACAGATACTTCTCTCAAGAATAGTTTCAGAGAAATCTTGAACCAATGATACATTTCCAAATGAAAACATTTGCCATTTGTTTAATTGAGATTTGCAAGTTCACAAATCATACTTTATCAGTGGTGTAGAGAATGTCAGTCTCTCTTTTCCTGTGATGCGGTTGGTTCTTCATTTAATAAACTGCTTAACTGTTTCTGTGCACATGAGAGGAAAAGTTCCAAACTAGACAGATTTCTCTGACGAATAACTTGATCAAGCTGTTGAAATAAGGAAAGAAAGAAAGAATAAGAGAATCTAGAAATAAATATTAGGGTTTAATTAGCAAAAATTCATACATATTCACCAACAAAAATTCAAACACCAAATTCAGCAACCATCCACAAAAAGAATTTTTAATACACACATTTTAGTATCAGCTTTTAAACAATTATTTCTTTCCAAAATAAAATGTACGTAGGTCACTTTGAAAGCAATGCCTTCTATTTATTTCCAAGGAAACTACAACAGACAGGAAGAACATATAACACTATTTGATAGAGCAAATTCTCAGCTACAAAACACTATTTTTCAACATACTGACCAACATTAGCTATGCATTTTTGCCTATGCTGAAAAGGAGCCTGTATGTTGTGCTCATAAAAATCTGCACCAGCAGATGTGCCCCACTGTCATTGTTGTCACTGCTGAAATGTACCACATATTGTCTCACTGTGCTTACATTCACTGTTTGGTCTCCAGAAATGTTCAAGCAACAGTGAATATGTCAGTGAGCTCCATTTTTTTCTGCATAGAGGAATTCTCTGAAACACCTTTGTTTCATATGCCATTTTGTCAGAAACCGCTTTGCTGCCATCTGTCACACAGCAATAAAATGGAATGGAATACTGGCTGGGGAGGTTCGACTTCTACTGCCATACCACCAACATCTGCCTCTGACATTGTGGGCCAACATAATAAAATAGGATGTATAACTTTCAGAGCAGACCTCTTATTTAAATAACAGCTGCTACTGACAAGAAACTGAAAGACTAAACACTAAACCAAGCTCTGAAGAATCCGTACCTATAAAGGTCAAGAACAAAGAACAAAATGGGCACACTGTTGATGTGATGATGGATTTCTCCTGATTTGAAAGGTATCTTGATTCTCTAGTCCAAAATAAAAAGAACAGTTTGTATGAAGAAACTTGCAGATGTTTTTCTGCTTCTGACCTGACCATTCCCTTTGGGGAATGGATAGATACAGTCCAATTCATATAAAATCATATGTTACGTCTTAAGAAAGGATGTGAGAATCCAGTTTCTCAAAATATTATTATGTCATCAAATCCTATTGCTTTTGATAGATATGTTGGATGATCTTAACGTGAAACTGATTTTCATTGGTTTTCCTTTTATGGCATATTGCATCATCTTGACGCTCTTATTAAGAGAGTCTTTCATTGAGCTTTGATCAAGAGTTTTGGCTAAGCTCTTTATTTTCTTTTTTTTTTTTTGCAACTTCTCCTTGCAGATTCTTTAAAAATAGGTTCTTCTTTAAAGTAGCTTACCAAATGTGTGTTCCGATATCGTGCTGTTAGTTGTATCAAGGCAGTGAACTCCAGCTGTACATTGTAAGTTCATTTCACTGAAAACTAAGTAAATGTTCAATGTGTGCAGCTGTTGGCTGCAATATGAACAATACTGAATTTATTCAGGCTTGAGATGGACTTTATGCTTCATGAATTAATAACAAATTTGAAGAACCTTTGTTGAGGCTCAAGTGGTTAGTTGGAAGTCTCCCTTTGGAAATAAAGCTAATTGATTGTTAAAAGTTTATGCAAATTCAGTAACATAAAAGTTCAGAACTCGTCACTTAAGCTGAAAGGGACATTTTAAAATTCTTCCATGCTAAAGTAGTTGACTAAACACTCAGAAAAGACTTAGGGTTTTCTCATGACACAAAACAAAACAAAAAAATAGTGAAATGATACCGATTTTGAAAATAGTACATTGAAATGGCTGTTCAGAAGGGGAGCATTATCATTAACTGGGAAACAGAAAGAAATCCAGTGAAGCTTCATTATATAATAGATTATTTAATCAAGTGTTTGGAACAGCCAGTTTTTTTGAAGACTGCCTCAACATTACAGTGTTGCTCCTTGCATAATATATAATTAAACAAGTAGGTTTTTTTAAACCTAGTTTTTGTAAACAGTCGTCCCTTTGTATTTAGAAGGCCCTGTTCACTTCATGGAATGATCTCATTATTTAAGCAAACATTAATGGATATCTGGTAAATTCAAACTGAATGTGACTCATATGCAAACATAATGAGTATGAATAGCATATTAGGGATGGAGTATTCATATAACCAAATTAAGTTAGCTGCTTTAATTCTGTAGATACTGAAAAATGTACTGTATTGGTTTTGATCTACCACAAGAGAGGAGATTTTCTACATCCCACCATCACTGTATTTAGTATTAATGTTTTCAGTCATATTAAATTTATACAGTTCAATGCTCTCAATTCTGTATGTCACGTCCTAGAAGCATTCACATCCTTCACATTTTCCCTTTCTAGCATAATTATGCACAAATAGATACATTTTCAGGGCATAAGTTCTTAGTTCTTCTTCCACCAACTATTTCCCAAACATCTAAAAATTTCAAATGGCTAGAGTAGAAATGCAGTCAGAACTCTTAAGTATTTACTATATATCAATTATTTTATCCCTTACTAGAAAATGATAACATATTTTACAGACAACCCAAATTTAGGTTTAGGTATGAAATTATAAGGATGAAAATAGGATCTAATCATAGTAAAGATACATTTTATTATTAACCTCACAGTGGCTTAAGGTTCAGCCAGAGATGTAAAGAAAGCAAAATTGTTACATAAGGGTCCTCCACTTTTCCCTGTTGTGTAAATACTAAGGTGAATATCTTTGAAAACTATTTGTCAGATGTCATTATTTTCCAGTAGCGAACAGATTTCAAGCTGTAGAAAATGGTAGATACATTTCTAAAAATGTATACTGAACAATTTATCAGTACTTCAAATGATAATCTGATGATTAATGTAGCCAAATGCAATTCCACTCACTCTTCTGTCTCTGTAATTCTAGAAGGATTTAATGTTTACAATGACTTGAGACTAAAAATGAATGAAGATATTGAGTACTGTTGTTACTTTTTAACTGGAACAGTTGATCTCAATCACATATGTTGTAAAAATAAAGAATAAACATGGCATTACTATTTAATGAAGCAGATCATCTTCTCTTAAACATAATGAAATCAGAAACCAGTTTTTGTCTCCTGTGAATTTCTTAAGAAATTCATGCAAAACAATGATACAAAATATTGAATACATCAATAAATCATTTTAATACATTCATATATGTGTTTTTATTTATCCATAGAAGAGAAATAAAAAACTTCAAATCCTGAAAAGTACCCTTGTCACTCAAAGAAAATCAAGTTCATGAAAAGACAGGAAATTTCAAATGTAAAATAGTTCATGTAATTGAAAACACTTAGATTGATGTATAGCAGAATGTGTTCTGAAGACTGAACTTAGTAGGTCTAGATTAGTGGAGTTGATAAAAAGGCTTTCCACCTATTTAGTGCTTACAAGTAGCTGCTTGTTAGCTGTTGAGTTTAATTTAATTTAATTCCAAGGTAATTCCTTTAATTCAATAGTGATTATCCACAAGGAATTGTTTACAGACGCTATTCTGATGTCATTACACACATATTTTCCAAGTGACTAGTAATATGAGCAATCCTACATATTTCAGCATCTTCTTGTCCTCCAAGTCCTCCTCAGTAGAAAAATGACATTTCAACACTGTAGGTAAAAGTAATCAAGATTTTATTGTATTTGTTGTAAGTTTATCTTCTTTTATATTTAATCTTGGTTTCTCTACATATTTTCATTTTTACAATTCTGTTTTAACTGAGTTCCTCCACACTTTGAAAAGTATCTCCATGGAGAACACAATATTAGTAAAATGTGTTCATGATGAAAACTGCTTCTCCTAAATATTTATGTACTTAAAAATTAAGGACTAAAGGAAAAAAAAAATCTTCAAGGCCCACTAGAATCAGGAACATAATTTAATTCTACACAGTTGATATAATATTAAAAGTATACTGGGTTGTTCATGAAGCAATTACTCTAGATGTAAAACAACTTCCTTGTTGTCATCAATCATTGTTGTGATCAAATTAAAATTTAGGTACTTCTGTTCTATCTAATTGTATGTAAATCTGTAATAACTTGTAAAAAGTTCACTAAAACATCATATAACATCACTCTGCATTATGAAATACAGATAAAAAATGGTCTTTCTAAAGAATGACCTGCACTTCTGTCCTAAGTGAATGAAATGACTGCATTTTAGATCTTACATAAATTTTTAACTGCAGTCACTTTTTATGAATAATATAATTCTTTCTGAAACATTGTGAGTTTTCTTGTGTAATTACAACCTCAGCTTTTGCAGAATTTTCCTGCTCCCATTCACAGTATGGAATAATCCATTCAAATGCACTACTGCAACTTAGTGCAAAATTCGTTGTATATACTGTACTCTATATTGGCTTACAAACTCAAGTGTTCAATAGAATATTGCAGTGTAATTATAAGACTCATAGGTGTCTTCTCACAGTCTGATCTGTAGACATTCGTCTTTGAGGAAAAATAAAAAATGAGGGCACAATTTTTGGTACAATTTTTATGAGGTATGTTTTGTGGTGTTTTTTCTTTTTTTTTTTTTCTTTCACAACTAATCCACACATGAGCCACAGACACGATTCTGAAAAATTCCACAGCTAGAGAAGTTCAGCAATGTGATCATATTTTCTAACAAAACTATGGTTTCAGAAAGTTTTCACAGTGCACTGACATGAGCTTCTCTCCATAGATTCAACAAAAGGCTTTAAAATTTTCCCAAGTGCATTAAATATAACAAAAAACCTGTGGAACCTGCAAATCTGGGAGTTGGATGAGGAAACAATGAACTAGTTCCTCTCATTCCTTTAATGGATGAGAAGGAAAACAGATCCATATGGTACATATGGGTAGCAGAGCCTATTTTCAAGTTAATCCCAGAACAGGACATTTTTGTCTGTTCACCTGTGAATTTCTACTTTTGATAACACTTACTAAGTATACAAAAATGAGGTTCTTCATGGCTGTAATTTATACAGTATCTGCTACTCATTAGAAGGTCATCAATGTTCAAGACAGAATCTCTAGAAAGAGTC